AATGTTCAGGGCTTACTTGAATTCATGAGAATCGCAAAGAAGGGCCATATTAAAAACATATACCTTTTATTTGCTGCGCTGCAGGATTTGAACAGCACAGGGCAGCTTATAAAAACCACCTCATTTTGAAAAATGCCCTTCTATGCGATACTCATGAACACGTATATCTTCTACAAGCCCAAAAGCTTCACAACTTTGAACATTTCTCCAAAGGACTTTCATTATTTTTGCGTTCTTTTTGCATTCTTAAAAACGATATCAGAAATGGTCGCACAGATCCATTAAAACCAAGCAAGAATATTCATTCGTTCACATGCCTCAGATAAGGCTTTGGTTGTGTCTTCTTCTTTGTTTCGGGTTTTTCGATTTTGGTGCTTTTGCGCGTGTGAATCATGAACATTAAGCATAAAACCGACATTTAGCTGATTGATCTTAATAAGAATTCCTGGCCGGGGCTGTGGCTCGCTAACGGATCCGTGCGGCGGGTCAATAACATTTTGCTGCCACCCCTCACGTCCTGCCTGGCCCCTCGCCCCTCAGCTGTTGAAGGCGTTACTTGGGCTGCGCCTGCGCAACATAACAAACTTGGTGTTTGTTTTTTTTTTTTATGCATTTCCTTGTGCAGTTTTAATAACTCGCCTGCCGCCTCCCCCCTACCCGTCTTGCAGAGATGAGGTACAGTGGGGATTGGCAAAGGGCCAGGCTTTTGAGCCTGTCGGAAATTGAAGTTTGCATTTTTTGAGTTATGTTTCGCGAGTTTTTGTTTGGTATTTCGCCTTTTTTATAGTATGTGTGTGAGTGTGTGTGTGTGTGTGTGTTCGGGTGTATAAATAAGAAATAATTGGTTTGTTTTTTACATATATTGGAATTTGCAAATGTCGTGAAGCGGAGCGGATGTCTGTTGCCCAATTCTTGATTGAAAAGCGTCGCCAAAAGTGCAAAATTTGCAAAGCTAATATCTCGTAGGGAGGCGTTTACCCCCATTTGAAGAGTCTGGTCCATTCTAAGAACTGTTGCATATTTCATTTACTTTTAAAGTCAATTTCATGTAGATGCTGTCGATTGTTTTGCCCAGTTCGTGCCCAGTGTGCGATTGCGGCACAGTGTGCACATATTTCAAACATCAAATTTTTTTTTTAAACTAATAATTTTTTATCAAAATGTCAACGCATGGCAACAGCAACCTGTTTAATGAAACCCAATCTAAATTGTCTGCCACGCAAATTGCAATTTTTTTTCTCCATGCATACACTGTTAACTAATATGAAAAGGGTATATGGGTTGGGTGCAAGGCGCGGCTGGGAAGGAAGCGTGCGAACTATCAATATATTCGCCTCAGCTAAAAGGAGGGCCTCATCTCACAGAGTTCTAGAGCTATGCTTAAGGAAATCGAATGAAATAGACCCTTGAGATCTTTTTGAGAATACGGCCCAGACATTGTGAAAACCAATATGTCCTCAAATCACAGTTTGAAAGCGACTGACTGTCTTGGAGTCACACATCCAATAAGAAAAGGCAGAGTTTACGACTTTTTGTATTGAGCAAATATATTAAAGCTAAGCCAAGCACTCTCAAAAGAATGGTATATACCCAAGTAATGTGAAGTTCCAAGAATTATAGCAGACTTTTTGAAAAAAAAACGGATTTGGAGTGATTCAAAAAACACAAAATAACTCAGTTGCATGAAATTATAAACTAAATATCAAATGACTAAACACTTTATCTTAGCAAGTACTCTAAAAATAAATGGACTATATGCAAGTAGTTCCTTTAAAACTACATCTTATACAAGAAAAAGAGAGCAAGAACAGAGTATAGGTCAGTCATTATCACCCGACAGTCACGTTACTGCAAAGTGGTCCAAAATTGGCGACATTTGTTGCGTAATGTCCGGCGTCTAGCAATCGAATTAAATCAAATGCAATCGACAAGCACTCGAAGTATATATATATCTTATATATAAATATATGTGGTATATATAAAATAGCCAAAAAAAGGTAGCCGGGGCAAAGTCTTCGCCTAAGTCTGCAGTTTAAATTAAGCGCAATTAAAGTGAAATTTTGCGAAAACAGTCTGAAACATTGTGGGGCTGTGGGCGTGGCTACGCCTTCAACTGGCGGCTGCCCGCAACTAAGTAGTGCACTTGATCGGGCTCCCCCCCTCCCCCCTGAGCCCCTCTCCGCTCTTCTCTCTACAAGCTGCCAGAGCCTTGGCTCTGCTGGCCCTTATTGTGCTTTTGTTTGTTTTTTTTTTGTTATTATTTTTTTTTTTTTTGTGCAAACAAAAGGCGTCTAGATTACGTCTACGTCGTCGCCGGACCCAAAACCCAGACGCAGCCTCAAGTTTGTCAGCTTTCCGCTCTGCCCCGCTGCCCCTCCGGACCCTGGTACCCTTCGTGGTTAAGTCTGTGTCTGTGTCTGGAAATTGGGTTCGCCTTGTCTGCTTATTGTCTGCTGCTGCTGTCCTTATCCATTCTTTTCTTTTCGTAGATGTTAGTCAAGTTTTTGCTTTTATTATTTATTTTTTGTACGTTTTTTTTTGTGTTTTTTTGTTTGGATTTTGCATTTGATATCAGTTTTCGGCACATGGCCGGTCTGCCTTGGCATTTGTCTGGCCGGATTGCGCTCGAAAGAAGTCTAGAGTGCGTCAACTTGGGCCAACTTTAGATATAGCTACAATTGACTTCAAACAAGTTCAAGTTATTGGCTTACTTTCTTTGAAATATTTTCTAAGATAATGTTTTTTTTCAAAATAAATAATATTTAGAGTGCATTAAATAATGTGTGCTCTGTGAACCTTATGTGCAGCTCTGCCAGACTTAATATAAGTCATTGCAAACTTAAAAATTTGTATGTTTTTCTTAAATATTTCCAAAATTTATATTCCTGGTTCGGTTTTATGCTCCTCCTTCCTTTTCACACACCTATCTAAATTTCGCATAGTTTGAACTTGCCACAAAATCTGGCACAAAAGTTGCCGAAAAAAAATATTCAGACACACAAAATTCACACACACAACACACACAGACACACACATGCGTATCACAAATCATGTCTGGATTTTTATTGTGCGACTGACCTTGAATTTATGCAAATTGCTCAAGTGGGAACAACTTTGTCAAATCAACAGCAAAAAAATTTAATTCAAAAAGACCTTGACATTGAGCTGCGAAAGGGCTCGACTGTTATTATAATGTGATATCATCGCAGCTAGAAAGATCATTAGCACAGTTCCGAAGCAAATTTGAAGCTTTGTAGGTGATATAATATAAGAAAACACTTTCATGCTATACTCGGGAGGTCTACCGTAACATATTTGCATCATTATACTACCGTATGCCTTACACAAAACACATGCAATCCGATCTGAAGTGCAATATTTCTCTCTGTCTCTGAGGTAAAGGCATGCAAAAGACACATACCTTAGCCAAATTTATGCTTCCCATACACATGCATATACGCCACATAAAGCACCATACCAAATGAATTACAACTTATATAATTTACAAAAAACATTTAAGATGATCTCTTCAAAACAGGCTCAACTAAAAGATACTCAGTACCAAGATTGCCAAAAACATATTAAATACTTGTATGTGGCATCAATCTTCATACTATTAAAAATAAAACGCCTTTCTATGCGATTTTCACAGATACAAGTGAGGCTTATCGCGTTGCATATGTGAGATAGTAGGCTAGATAGTTGAATAGGACAAAAGAATATTAAGTAAAGCAAAGTTAAAAATAGAAGGCTCAAACGATAGAATGATTGAAAAGAAGAGAAGAGAGAGAGGTAGAGAAAAATAGCATGTTATATAGTGAAAAAAAAAAAACAAAAAATATATATAGGGAGAAGGGGTTCAGGATCCAGAACAGGGACATTGGAAGCATTGGAAGTCAAAGAATAGTAAGTGAGAATCACACAGAAGGGCGCATCGCATTTTAAAACTCTAAAGCTTAAGGGCAATTTGATTCCAAATTTTGTAAATAGAATACAGAGTTAAAGACAGGCAGACGTAATTGCCGTATTAGTATACCCTTTCAACCCTTCCACATGGATAGAGGGTATGAAGGCTTCGAGAAAAAACTCATAATAAGCAACTGGGTTCGGTCCCGAGACCGGGTATCGATAACCCTTATCAAATGTGCGGCATCTCGAGGCGAAAAATACAAATTATGCTTACAAACAAAAAAAAAAAAGAAAACCAAACAGCGAAATGCCAAAAGTATACAACACGTATATATATATATATGTGTGTGTGTGTGTGTTTGCTTTGCCACTGGGCCTTGCTTGGTTTGGCAATGGACGTACCGCCCTCTGGGCCACCATCACAGCTGTGGGCGTGACGCGCTTAAATCCCGTACGCCCCGCACTAAAGGCCCAAACGCGAATTCTGTGATGCAAATTATGCGATATTGAAATACCCCGATCAAATTGCAGTCATTTTCTCTGAGCGTTACCCAAAAAGAAAACAAAAAAAAAAAAAAAAACAAAATGTAATGCTCATGAAATTGAGCACTTTATGCGACGAAACAGAAATTAGGTAGCCGTCTACCTAAATGGCCAAGAGACTTTATTGACTTACCGACAAAATTGGGCTAATAACTAACCGGACACGTGCTCTTCGATGTGCGATGTGCCTTAGAAAACCATCTATAGCTAATCCCTAAAATACATTCAACTGGGCTTCAACAAATTTGAGAGTGTTTCAGCGCATGATTAGAACCAGCTTGCTGGTTTTTGGTTCGATTCAGTTCGGATTTCAGCTTTGGCTTAGGGTTCGACTCATGTTAAAAGAAATAGAATGGAAAAGCCTTGCCTTGCTTTGGACGTCAAATATTCAGGTATTCCAAGGTCTAAGCAATAAATTCCTTTAGTCTTAATGCTCTTATGTTTTACATAGCCAAATTCACAAGAAGTGTAAGCAAAATTTTCTTTAAGAAAAAGGCAAACAACAGTTTTGATTTTTAAACGTAATTGCAAAAGAGCGAGCTGTGACAATGTCGAAGGCCGCACGTATGGAGCAGGAGATACAGCTACTGCGCCAGGAGCTGGCCCTGATGCGTTCGGATCGCGATGAGCTCTACCAGAAGCATGCCAACCATTTCCAGATGTGCGACGGCGGCGGCGAATGCGGCCAAGAAACTAAGATTGATATTAAAAAGCTTGACAAAAAGGGTCAAACAAATCAGGAGTTGTACATTGCCTATCTGGAGGAGCAGATACAGAGAACGCGCTTAAAGTACAAAAAGCAAATGGGCGAGGTCAAGTCGAGCGCCACCCAATTGGAAACGCAACTGCAGAGCGTGCGCCAGGACATGAGCTGCATCAGCGCCAAGGCCCAGCTGGTGGACAGGCTGCAGAAAAATATAAAGGAACTCAAGTCCAGGCTGAAGCGCCGGGACATGATCATAGCACGCTATAATGAGCAACACGCTGAGTTCTTGGGACTAATTGAAAATTTAGAGCAGAAGTCAATGCCAGAACAGAAGGTCCCAAAGCCGTTCATAAATCTTCAAAAATCGAATGCTTTTGAGGTCGTTGGCTGTGACGGGGAGGAAGAGGATTCGGATATTCGCTCCAGGTGCAAACCTGGAAAGAAACCAAACTTTTCCTGTCTAGGCACAGCACTCAGAAAGAAACTGAACCGCAATTAACCTTGCTTCAAGCCGATCAACAAGTTGTAACAAGATTTGTCTATTCGAATTTTTTGTTTTTAATTAAATTTTTGTATTGTTTCAACGTATTAAAAGTGTATGCATAGCGAAATGACGTCCCATAATTGTTATTTAACAAAAAGTGTCGGCTCATTCATTAAAACTTCGCCTTGGCGGAACTTCGGTCAGCAATTCGTTTCTGGTTTCTTAGAATTTCTCTGCCTTCAAGTTCATTGACAATGTTTAACAATGAAAATGCGTTAAGTTATTGCGCTGCATTTCCAGAAAATATATACATATGTACATAATATATACTCCATACCAACTAATAACAGCCCTGTCTTTGGTTTGGTTCATGAACCTGATTTTCAACATGAACCTAGCTTCTGTTTCGAACAGCAGATTTTTTCAAATTTTATATGAATTTTTTCTATGCACATTTAATTAATTAGCGCTGTCTTTAAGGTCAATGCTTTAATGACTTTGTCACGCTGAATTAAAAAAATATATATTTTGAAAATTCCCGTTTGTTTTTATCTATGGCTTACTGCGGCTCACCTGTTTGAGGAACAGCTGATGGTTCGTGTCTCGATTCGGCTCGAAGTAAGGAAAAATTTGATGTTCCATTGTGAACTGTCTGGGATTTTTTTATCCTGATTTGATGCACATTGTATATCAGAATGAAGAATCGCATGGCATCACACAAACATTTTATAATTTTGATTGAATTGACAGCTATTTCATCTTATTTGCAGTCCAACAAGTGGTAAAAGTGTCACGTTTCGGTCTTTCGATTGGACTCTGACAGCAATTGCAAGCGTTGCGTCTGCTTTGTTCGGTGCCTTCGTATCCTAATGCAAAATTTGTGTAGAACAGCACGTAGCATATTTCCCATAAATACTCCAGCGCCTAGTCGAAAAATGGCGTAGGTCACGCCTCGAAACGTCTATTGAATTCTAATAGGCGACGCGACTGCGACTGCACCAGGAAGTGCGTGCAACAAACGATCGTTGGTCAATTGAAGTTATTTGTGGCAAACATAAACCAAATGCCAATTGAAATTGATTGGGCGTACTTGCAACTTATGGGAACGTTATAAAAAGGAATAGAAAAAGAACTAGGCCAAAAGTTCAAAGAGGAACTGAATAGAACTAATTATACGAAAGTAACTGCAACACTGCATCACAAGTGCCACTCTTAGACAATCTTATCGTTGAACATACCATGATTCACAGTCTTCTGATGAAATAGACGTTATACAAATATTTATATTTTTGGCAGCCTGATGGACAACCCCTTAGGTACTAAGCCTGTTCAATTGACCTTCGCTTGCAATTAGTATGCATTATGTTTGCTTTATAATTGACGTTTGTATTATTTCATGCCTCGCTCAGGTGCTCGGCCAATGACGGCGATGACCCTGAACTGTTTTTGTAACATGAATACTGCGAAGTTGGCCCACAAACGTGACGTCACTGCGAAGGTGCTCCGCTCTAAGAATAAGAACAATGAACAAAATTACATTTTGCTTTGAATGGTTATTATTATTGCTTAGCTAAATTGTGTACATTACATTATTACATTAATTAACCACTAAATTCGCCAGGTTCAGCTTGTTTTATGTGCCCGAGAAGCTACGAAAGTTATTTTTCAACAGCAGCACCACAAAGAAAATGCCCACAGCGATGGTAAACAACTGGACGTTGATTACTTTCGAGTCGACTAAGGCTTGCAGCATGTTGTAAATGCTTTCGCTGCGCACTTCACTACCACAGCAGTCCATATATATGACATATATTAAGTACGATGGCTTTTAAATATAAAAAACTACAGCTTTCCTCGCGTTAGATGTATATAAAATATAAGTCTCTTGTTTTTCTGGCGACGAACAGCTGGTGCGAGCGAGTGTGTTGGCAAGGGCATAGAAACTGTAGTGTTGAAAAACGTATGAAAAAGTGTCTAGCATATGGCAACGCTACCAACAGCTGTTAACTTCAATAATGATATTAAATATTTGCAATTTAAATCAATTTAGCTGGTCACTAACTTAAATATCACTATTTTCAACGTTAGCAATTCACATTCTATGATTTTTCCTAAAAATCTTTGGTTTTTCTTACAATTTTCCCAAATACATTATCAAACTCTCAAGCAAACCATTATACAGAAACTGCACTCAATTGAACTGCGGGTTTTGTTTTATTATTTAGCTTAACATCACTATTTGCTAATGTGTGCCGACTAGGAGACAGTTCGTTTATTCGTCATTCTCAAAATCAGCAGGATTTTTGCGTAGCAAAGCTGTATGCTTGCGTTCGGTCAAATCGTAGATCAGATAACCCAGGATGAAGGCTGCAAAAGTGTAACAATAATTAGATCATGTAAGAATGGTATACAATGCACAAACGTACGTGGTGTCACACGGAAAATGTTGGAGCGGATGCGGCGCACAATATTTGGCAGACCGTGGCTGATCGCGCCGGCGAATGCGCGCTGCTCGAAGGGCGATAGCTTGTAGACGACAATGCCGTGCACCTTGGCGAGGTTGCCGAAGTGGGCGCCGTTCAGGATCGAGGTTAGACGCATGTTTTAAGCTGTGGGCGTGGCAATAGAGATTAATGGAGTGAGGATTACAAGCCACATATGAAGCCAACGAGTATTTGGATAAAGACACAAATAGTTATTATAAACATTCTGCACTTAGCCTCAAAGAGGTTATGTAATTTTAGCACTGGGAACGTCTGCAACTGTGGCTAGTTGCTGCACCTTTGCCAAGCAATAATTGGGCATATTTATAGTGCCCAGCACTTGGCAGATTTTTGGCATTTATTACGTTTAATAATTACCTTGACAAATCAGAATTCGTGCCTTAAAATAGGAAAAAACTGCGAATGACGTCCGTCTGCCTCAGTTGCTGTTTCTGACAGTGCTATATAACATCTGTTAACTTGGCATACATCTGTTACCTTTCGATAACTGAAAATATAAAATATCGGCCGGCCTCCACAGCATACTTTTCAGCCAGAATAACAAAAAAGTTGCAAACGCCAACTGTTTAAAAAAACATTAATTTATTAAAAAGAAACTCATCAAATTCAACAGAAATGGCCGCCAAAGTAGCTAGCAGTACAAGCAAAGTGTTCCAGAATGTAAGTTCATGTGCCGGAACTCGCGGCGCGCCAGAGTAACCTCACTTTACTCCCACCTGGTGGGGGCATGCGAGGGGCGCTGACTAATTCCATTCGGTTTCCATTTGCAGCACGATGATGTTCACATTTCTTTCGAGGATCAACAGCGTATCAACCGTTTTGCCAAGCACAATGTCCGAATGGATGACTTGAAATTGGAGCTGGAGATGAAAAAGAATGATCTCAAATGCGTTGAGGAGGCATTGGAAGAAATCGAACTGTTCGACGAGGAGGAAGATATTCCCTTTCTAATTGGCGAAGTATTTCTCTCACACAAGCTGGGCAAAACGCAGGAACTGCTCGCCGAGACGAAGGACAGCGTGATTAAGGAAATTGCTAGCATTGAGGCCAAGACAAAGATCATCAAGGCCGAGATGGACGAGCTGAAAGCACATCTGTACCAGCGTTTCGGCAGCAACATCTCCCTGGAAAACGATGACTAAGTCGACGGCTTGTTCAGAAGAAAGAAAGTGAATGGTTTTCACTTAAATAGAGTACATTTAATTTAAAACCCGAGCAACATATATTCGTTTTACTACAGCACTAAAAAATATATTATCAGTCCAATTATAAGCATTGTGACCACCATGCCGCCCAAAAAGATGCGCCGATCCTCAACCAACCTTCTTTCTATCAACTTCATAGTGTGATTGGACAACCCGAGTGTGCTGCCAATAGCCTGTATACGCTTGTGGGCACCACCCAGTGTCATGCGCTGTGATATGAGACTTTCCAGTATGCCGCTTCCAGAGGCAATCATGTCGTCCACACCCCGATGGGCATTGCCCATCTGTGTGTGATGTTGCAGCTCATAGTCCAGTTGCAGGCACGTCTCCGACGGCGCAGTGCTATTTGCCGTAAAACGATGGTTAAGCAGCTGCTCCCGCTCGCTGATCTCCTGCTGACGGCGCTGGCGACGATCACGCGCGTGCTGCAGGGATGTTTGCAAATGCCTCAAGTCGTACTTCAGCTGATCTATGCGCAGCTTGGAGCTCTGCCGCTGCGAGGGTGGCACCTTGAATAGCAGCACATCGAGTCTGTCGCAGTTGCTGTGAAAATTGTGAAATTTAACCAGCTGTTGGAAAGCGGGTGGGTCGGGGTGACTCACGAATTGGCCTGGGTGATTTTCACTTGTATCGTGTTCTCCACGTCAAGCGCTTCCTGCGGTGCAACCTGGCCCAATCGCTGAAAACATTGCTCGATTTCCTTGACCGTGTTGTTGGTTTGATGGTACAGTGTTTCCATTGTCGGTGCACGCGCAGTGCAAGCAGCATGCGATGAAAGCGTTTATCAGTGAGGTAAATTAACACGTAAAATTAATTCGTTTCAAAAAGCTGACGCGTTGCAAATTAGTCCAATTGCCTAGGTGTGTTGTTATCGTATCGACTTATCGTTAATCGACAATCAGTGTCACCTGCCGAGCCGTATGGTCTGGCAACGCTGTCAAAACAAAATGTCCTAATTAACACCATACTTAAGTGTGCTTGCAAAGAATGCGCTAAAATAAGCCAAAACACACACACACTCTAGGATAAACCACAATGGCGCATACATCTAGTACCGGCGTTGGTAAGAATTTAATTTGTAAAATTAACAATTTGGCAAGGAATTTGATTGAAAAGCACGTGCCCGCGAGCACTGCCAAAGTGTAGGCCATATTTGGCCAGCGAAATGTGCGAAAGTGTAGCATAAAACGTATGCGCAAAACGATTTTTTATTTAACGATGACGGCTCGCTGCCGCAGCGCTGCCACTGCCCCGCTGCTCTCTGTGAAAATGGAAAAGAAAGCAAATGGCAAAAATAAAAAAAAATAATAAAACTACCGACAAAACGCGAGCATATTAAATCATATTGAAAAACAAGTAGCCAGCCACGGCGTTGTGTCTGTCTGTTGCAGCTAAAAGTCGCTATGTAGCAATTTTTCTTCGTGACTTGACAATTTCGGTGGGGCCTGCACCCCACACACACACACACACACTCACATCTCCTCCCCCCCTTGGCCGTTGAATGTGTCCCTTTCAATTGTGTGTGTGTGCGTGTGTGTGTTTTTTGCTCGTTTGCTCAGCCACTTGGTTTTATGCTCTTTGCCTTTGCTGCTAGCCGAAGTGCTTCTTTAATTTCTAATTAAATTAGTTGGCCGCTGCTGCTGCAAATTCACTTTGCACATATATCTCCAGCGCTTGCATACAAATTATGCCGTGTGTGTGCGTGTAGGGGGAGAGGCTGGTGGGGGGCCACCGACAACTAGAGCTAACCAGGCAACCAACCAACCGACTAAACTAACCAAACTCTAAATGATACCACACCCTTCGTCCGGTATTCGTATTAAATTTTTTTTTTCCACTTGGAGCATACGAAAATGCGTGCAAAGCAGCCGCACGAGCGAAGGAAAAACAACGCAAGACACACGGCCAATAACAATAACAACAGCAACAACAACAACAACAACAACAATGGCAATACGAGGTGGAAGAAGAGTGCGAAGAGAACGTCTAACAACAACCACATGACCCCGCGCCAAACACGCTTTATGTCTTAATTACAGCCTTCGGCCAGTGTATTACCCGCCTCCCCCCCCTCCCCCCTCTCCTCCCTTTCCCCATCCCCCTCCTCCAATCACAGTGTTTAAAACCCTCGACACGAGCTAAATGGAAATTTATAGCTGCCTAATTTTCTCGTTTCAGTGGTGCCACGAAATTTTCGCCTTCTGGAGGAGCTGGATCAGGGCCAGAAAGGCGTGGGCGATGGCACCATTTCGTGGGGTCTAGAGAACGACGATGATATGACACTCACCTATTGGATTGGCATGATCATTGGCCCCCCTAGAGTAAGTGCATCTCACCTCTCCGCGTCATACTCCATCTAGTACGTCATTTAAATGAGCCGCAAACCTTATCAGTGCTGGGATTATAGATATTGTATCTAAACGATTGCGTAAACCCAAAATTCAGCACAGACAGACGGGTGTGAATTATGCAGAAATGGAATTGAATTTATGAACAGACAAACATGTTTATTTAGGCAGTAAACAAATGAAATAGTTCAAAGAAATGCTGAAGTCAAAAGGCAACTTTTTTCAGCCTTATTAACGATATTGTGCTCCAGAAATTTGATTATTGGAATACGTGTTCCATTCTAATAAGAATCTAGAAGAAAGATCAAACAAATGATAGGAACGAGTGGAATTGTGCCATCTATTATGGTACGAAATGGGAAACGAAACAGCTAGCATAGAACGATATTAACTAGATTTGTTGCCGCGTTCAAGTTCTGTTATATAAATTAGATTACCAGCACATACATTTTGAAATGTTGATAACAATTTAAGAGATAAGCTGCGCAGCAAATAATCTTTTTCAATGGCAGCGCAAAATTTAAAATCATACAAAACTCGAGTTGAAATTAATGCATTTAGTTATATGAATAAGCAATAATAAGGCATTGCAGTGTGGCGGAATGTTGTGCACGCCACATGAATCATGGATATTCACCATGGTTAGCTGCACCGGCAGCGCCCGCTGAGTCATCATCGAGTGCGTGAGAGCCTGTCCGGGCAATTGTTGTTAGTTCCGACTGAGAGGGGCGAGGCGGCAATAGAGAGATAGAGAAGTGCATGTTTGTATAATCGACAGCCCATTAAATGCACACTTCTAATTCACTTATTCATATGACTCGTTCTTTTTTCCAGACACCATTCGAGAATCGAATGTATTCTCTAAAGATTGAGTGCGGCGAACGCTATCCGGATGAGCCACCCACGCTCAGATTTTTAACAAAAGTTAATATTAATTGCATTAATCAGAATAATGGTGTGGTGAGTATAGCAATCAAATTGAGTTACATCAATTATTCAAATGCTAATTGTTCGATATAGGTTGATCATAGATCAGTGCCCATGTTGTCCAGATGGAGTCGCGAGTACACCATTAAAACGATGCTTCAGGAAATACGTAGGATTATGACCATGAAAGAGAACTTGAAATTGGCACAACCGCCAGAAGGTAGCTGTTTTTAGTCGGCAACAACAACAGCAACAACAACCTACAACCACAACAGCAACAACAACAGCAGCAGCAACAACTATATCACACGCAACTGCAACAGCAACAACAACAACCACAACCACACAACCTGCATTCAAACGAATGTGGGAGCGTGTGGGAGAGAAAGCGCGTGCCCGCCATGGTAAGACGCCTCTATCCTCGAGAGTTGTGTGTGGTAATGTCAGAGCGAATGGAGAGGTTTACAGAAGAAGCAATTGGAGGAGCCAGGAAGCTGCATTGTTGTTGTTGTTGTTGTACTTCTTGAATGTGTGTGTGTGTGCTCAGCAGCAACAAGAACTAAAGCAAAATATACTATAAGTGTAAACAACAACAGCAACAACAACAGCAACAACAAGAAGAAGAAAAGGATTAAGAAGCAGAAGAACAGCCACAGCAAACGTCACTAATATAAATGGTCGTCGTCCCTTCCGTCATCGAGCGTCGTACGAATGTCATCACGTTTGGTTACCCACATTCTTAGCTAAGAAATAAAACAAATAAAAACTCAAGTAAAGAATGATTAAGTAAAAAACAAAACACACACACAGCTACACCATGCAAAAAGATACATTTATAATTTTACTCACGCAATTTATAAAACAAACAACAACAACAACAAAAACAAAAGAAACGCAAATTCGTAAACTTAAAACCACATTATAAGATAAAAAATTAAGCGAGTTCTGTTTTCGTTGCAGCGAAGAAGTTGAATCGTAATTATTGTTTTGCATAACTAAAAAATTTATTAATTATATATATATATATACAAATTTAAGCGAATTTTTTGTAGTAAAAACAAAAAAAAAAACGAGAAAAAAAGAAAACTAAAACATGAACCGAACCGAGGCAATTGTAACAATTAAATTAGTTTTCCTTCTGCGAAATGGGATGTGAGACACGATTTATAATCCTTGAAAATTGCGGTAAATATATAAACAATTATACACACACACACACACACACCTACACACACTAAACTGATGCAGTAGTCGAACGGGCAGAACGATGAAAAAAAAATGATTAAAATAATATTTTAATTTAAGCTTCTAAATAAAACAATTAATAATCCAATAAAAAGAAAAGCCAAAATGCGTTTTGAGTGCGCATCAGTCGTAATAGGTTTAAATAGAATTTGGAATAATTTTGATAGAACCCGAAATCTTAAAGCGAACTTTGAACCAATGTCGACTGATCTGCCAGAGAATTATTCATGATTTTGGTTTGTTTTTCTTTCTTTAATATCTCTTCTCAAGCATCTCTCTACGAGGTGGAACCTTTCTGATTTACTTTATGAGACCAAGAGTCAAGAATCTTAAAGGAAAATGTTACGAATCGCTTTCGGGTTTTTCTTTTCAATTGTTTATTTAAATACATAATTTGAATTTAAGATTTATACACAATACATGTAATAGTATCCATGATTCATTTTGTCTAGGCTCTTTGCTTAAGTTAAACTCCCCGTTTTCCTGATGTTATTCGTGGCCATTGATCTTCGTGCATCCTCGTTTATACTAGGCATTTTGGTTTTTTCTGTTCTGGCATGTTGTTTGTTATTAGCTGTTATTTCTATTAATTGAATTCTGTGTGTGTGTGAACGAACATTTCCTGGGTTTTATGCTTAAAATTGATTTATTTTCATTAGTCGGTAAAGCCGCGTTAACACTGCAATTCTTCACGCCAAATCAAATTTAAACACATGTCTACTTCTCCTTGGGCACAAAGACGATCTTTCGGGACTTGAGCGAGGACCACTTGTGCCGTTTAATGTAATACGAGATGGCAGTCAGGAAGCCGAGAATGGCAATCACTTTGATCAGCAGCTGTTTGCGATCGTCGTGCTCCGGCTCCGATGTCCACTTGAGGAACGTGGCCACATCCTTGGCCAATTGGCTCTGCGTTGGCGGTGTGCCATCCTCATACTCAATCACCTGGTCGGTAAATAAGCGTAAATGTCAAGGAATTTAACTGACTTTGATTGTCTGCATGTTTGCCCACCTCGTTGTACAAGACCTGGGCCATGGATATGGCACCGCCCGGGAAGTACGGATTGAAGTACTGACCCTCGCGCAGCACTACACCAGCTGGTGGATCATGGTAGCCGGTCAACAGCGAAAAGATGTAGTCCTCGCCGCCCTTGCGCGCCGACACGATGTAGCTCAAATCCGGTGGATAGGCACCATTGTTAGCAGCACGCGCCGCCTCCTCATTGGGATACGGCGATGGGAAGTAGTCCGACAGCTTGCCGGGACGATCGAAGTAGTTGCCAGAATCATCGGGACCGTCTCTCACCTAGTTCCAATCAATCACAGGTCAAAAGACAAATTCAAATGTGGCCTGTGGACAAATTCTGCTCACCGTGATCTGCTCGGCCTCGGCCTTGGCCTCAGCTTCGGTATGGCTGACGCCAATCAGATTGCGGTAGGCAATGTATTGCATCGAGTGGCAGGCGGAGCACACCTGCTTGTACACCTCGTAGCCGCGACGCACGCTGCGGAATGGAATACATAACAACGGAATGCTTGGATAACTATCACCTCACCTCTGGTGATCCAGCGAGGAGAAGAGACCCTTGTGGCTCCAGGGCTGGGCGGGCGAATGCACCTCACCGCTGTTAGCATCCACGGATTGCTCCAGGGCAAACAGTAGAGCGCCAACGCCGCCGGTAACAGCACCGACAGCACTGATCAGCTGTTCGCGACACGCACACAACACAAGCGTCGAGCGTTGGGCGAAAGAAAAGTAAACGCGTTTTGAGGTTAGGTCCGCTCGGCTGTTATGAAATGCTCGGTGTCCGATTTGGTGACTTGGTACTTACCTTTTTGTTGCTGTTTGCCCAGCTCGAAGCCGTGGACAGGTTCTTGGCCTGCAAGTAAACGGGAATTGATTAGGTTTTCTTGCCCAGCAAAAAACTGCACGTATGATTTTTGCACGGAGTTACATAATTGTGGGTCGGGTGTAATCTACAGCTGCACTTGGGCTAATACCAGTTAAATCATCACAGATGATGCACAGTTTTTGGGGCATTCAACGTATATTCACTTAAACATGATCATTATGGGCAAAATTAATGTTGTAATGATTGAAAACGCTGGGAGTTGTTGGGGAAAATTTTCGCGTATGATGATTGAGGGCGGCGGGGATTTACCTGTTGCAGATTCAATGCTGGCGTAGATTTTAGCAATCTGAAGCCATTGAATCTTCGCAATGTCGCTGCCATGCTGGCCGGAGTTAAATTTTCTGCGTCTGGTCGTGTAAGGAAACTTAAAGGGCAGCGCGAATCTATCTATTCCACTGCTAGTGGGTCGCTCGCTTCTCGCTGGCAGATGTTTACTCGCTGTTTTTCAGTCGTCGCACTTAACACATGTACTCCTCAGGTAAACCGAATGTGCTCCTCCGAGTGCACACCCACGCAATTAACAGTGCTCGCTCCTCACATAACAGCGTACGCTCCACACGTAACATAGCGAATAGTTGGTCTTTCATACATTTTCTGACTCTTAGTTCAGTCACCTCAATCTATTTATATTTAACAGAGGCGACTCCTCATTTAACATAATGTGCACCACACAACAGCACGCCCCCGCATTTAACAGAGCTCACTCCACACAGCCTCACGAACTGCGGCCACACTGACAACAATTTGCAAAATTTATTATTGGCAGACGAATCATAGCAACGGGTGCATAAACAAATGCGAAATAAAACACTTTTCATTCGTTAACCAAAGTGCGCATTGAGGCAAAAGTTTCAAATTGTTGTTAACCGTTAACAGTTGAAGTCCAAATATGCCGCAGGAGCAGGCAACGGCGACATCGTCGCAGAAGCTCGATGACGAAATCGAAAATGTTCGCGTTGTGGTCCGTTCCAGGCCCATGGACACAAATGAGGAGTCCATTGGAGCACTAAGCGCCATTCAGGTGGATAAGATCAACCGCGCCATTACCGTTATCAAGCCGAATGCCACCGCCAACGAGCCGCCCAAAACATATTACTTTGACAACGTCTTCGACGGTGGCTCCAACCAGCTGGACCTGTATGTGGACACGGCGCGTCCCATTGTGGACAAGGTGCTGGAGGGCTATAATGGCACCATATTGGCGTACGGCCAGACGGGCACCGGCAAGACATACACCATGTCCGGCAATCCGGACTCTCCGCAGACCAAGGGCATCATTCCGAATGCATTTGCGCACATCTTTGGGCACATCGCCAAGGCGCAGGAGAATCAAAAGTTTCTGGTGCGCGTCAGCTACATGGAGATTTACAACGAGGAGGTGCGCGATCTGCTCGGCAAGGACGTGAGCAAAAGCCTGGAGGTCAAGGAGCGGCCGGATATTGGCGTCTTTGTCAAGGATCTCAGCGGCTATGTGGTGCACAATGCGGACGATCTGGAGAATATCATGCGACTGGGCAATAAGAATCGAGCCGTCGGCGCCACGAAAATGAATCAGGAGTCCTCGCGCTCGCATGCCATCTTCTCGATCACCGTGGAGAGCAGCGAACTAGTCGAGGGCGGCATGCAGCATGTTCGCATGGGCAAGCTGCAGCTGGTCGATCTGGCCGGCTCGGAGCGCCAGTCCAAGACACAGGCGACCGGACAGCGCCTGAAGGAGGCCACCAAAATCAATCTGTCGCTCTCGGTGCTGGGCAATGTGATCAGCGCCCTGGTGGATGGCAAGAGCACGCACATTCCCTATCGCAACTCGAAGCTGACGCGCCTGCTGCAGGACTCGCTGGGCGGCAACTCCAAGACGGTCATGTGCGCGACCATCAGCCCAGCGGACTGCAATTATATGGAGACGATCTCGACGCTGCGCTATGCGAGTCGGGCCAAGAACATACAGAATCGCATGCACATCAACGAGGAGCCGAAGGATGCGCTGTTGCGGCATTTCCAGGAGGAAATCGCGCGGCTGCGCAAGCAGCTCGAGGAGGGCAGCTTCGAGGACGAGCTGCTGCCCAGCGGCGAGGGCGAGGGCGAGGACGAGGAAGACGACACCTGTGACGATGAGCTTGAAGAGCCGCTAGAAATTGAGCTGGAGTCGGCGTGTGCTTCAGGCGCTGTCAGTCCCAGCGGCAAGAAGATTCGCAAGAAGCGCGAGAAGACGGACGAGGAGAAGGAGGAGCTGGCCATGCGCAAGAGCCAGCATCTGCGCGAGATCGAGCATGCCCGAACGGAGCAGGAGCTGCTGCGCAACAAGCTCTTCTCGCTGGAGGGCAAGATTCTGGTGGGTGGCGAGAATCTGCTGGAGAAAGCGCAAACCCAGGAGAAGCTATTGGAGCAGTCCATTGCGGAGCTGGAGGAGCGCGAAAAAACCGAACAGGCGCTGCGGCAAACGCTCCAGCAAAAGGCCACCGAACGCATCGACATCGAGGAGCGCTACTCCACGCTGCAGGATGCCAGCACGGGCATCACCAAGAAGATCCATCGCGTCATGCAGATGCTAATGGGCGTCAAATCGGAGCTGGCCGATCAGCAGCAGGAGCATCAGCGCGAAAAGGAGGGCATCTACGAGAACATACGCAGCCTCTCACGGGAGCTGGCACTCTGCGAGCTGGTGCTCAACTCGTACGTGCCCAAGGAGTACCAGTCCATGATCAATCAGTATACACACTGGAATGAGGACATCGGCGAGTGGCAGCTGAAGTGCGTCGCCTACACCGGGAACAACATGCGCAAGCACATCGAGCACAAGAGCGGCGGCAAGGAGCCCGAATTTGTGGATCTGTCGCATGTGTATCTCAGCTACAATACGGACGGTGTCTCCAATTCCATGGGCGCCGCATCGGCGCGTCCACGCACCTCAGGCGTGCCGCGACCCACAACGGCGCGTCGCTACTGAAGCCATCAATCTCTAGTCCTTGTGCCGGTCCAGTATCTGGGGCTGCGGGCGCAGTTTTGGTTTTTGTTGTTGTTGCTCTTGCTATTTTACGGCTTGAAATTCCTTTGCTCAGCGAAATTCGGCTCTTAACTGTATTATTCTTTAATTTGTTGTTAATTTATTAAATAGGTGTCTGCAATAGTTACGAATTATACTTTTAGGTTGAACCAGGGTGCAATATGTTTACGTCTACTTTTAGTTTTACACTATAATTTATTGTATCTCACTAAGCATAACATTTTACAAATAGCTGACGGTTGCATAAGACAAATACGTGCTTTTCGCTTTTTAAATAAAATTATTTAGCAAACAATAATCGTATTTATAAATGTTTTCCTCTTCTTGTTGTTGTTGTTGAATGACTAAAAATTCCCAACTGAGAGCGCTCTGAAGTGCGCTAAGGAATTTGGTCCGTTTGAATTGCGTAACAAAACTGAAGTTTAGCACGATGTAGCACAGCTGGTTCCATAGTGTAGCGGTTATCACGTCTACTTTACACGCAGAAGGTCTCCGGTTCGACCCCGGATGGAACCATGGCGTATAACTTTTTTGAATTCGAGTTTTCGATTTTGTTTTGACTAATAGACGCTCTCCAAATTGTATTTATAGACGCTTTCGAAATGAGAAACATATTTATGTTACTAAAGATTAAATAGATAAAAATAAAGTAGTAGCAACATATACAGACGTACATGTTTTACAATATTAGGAACTAACTATTTTAATGACAACATTTTCTATTTCAATTATCCTAAAACATTTTAAAATAGATTTTTACAAAAATATAGCCACATGGTTCCATCCGGGATCGAACCGGAGACCTTCTGCGTGTAAAGCAGACGTGATAACCGCTACACTATGGAACCAGTTGAGCGCCGAGTGTCTATACCGCTTTCTAAGATACTGGAAAGAATTTGAACTTGTTTGTATGCATTTGAAAGTTATTGTATTATTTATATTTATATTGTGGGAGATATTGCAAAATAATATGTTTAAACAAAAAACGAAAATAAAAACGCTTCACTTGATACGGATATGCTGTCATAATTAAAACATGTAATTTTTTGTAAATTTAATTTAAGTAACACGGAAAGCAGCACATGTGATAAGCGCAAGGCGTGATAAATAATTATATACTTTGCAATTGTTATACAACTTCCAGTACTAAAATTTTATGAATCCTAATGCTATTTTCGTATTGCATGGCTCATCGTAGATGTTTGTATTTCCTAATGCAGGTAAATGGGCGTGTGTGTCTACCTGTGCCTCAGCTGATAACGCCCGTCAACTGTACTTTTACTATTATACATTTTAGCTAAGTTTATCTAATGCATTCACCAAACTATATTATCGGGGCTTGTTTTATTAGCACACTTCGGGGATTGGGGGAATTATATTTTGTATTCGGTGTCGCCAAATCAAGGGGGCGTACACATGGGAGTTTCACTCAAGTTGCCTCTCTCTCTCTCTCTCTTTCTCTCTTATTCTCTCCGTGTCAAGTGTGTTATCAGCGTGTGCTCTGACGTCACGAATAACAGTTCAATTTACATATACCATATTTGTGTATAAAATGAATTGGAAACTGTGCAACCGGGAGAGCAGCTCCCTGTTGCTATGACAATGACCGTACAACGATCGAGTCTTGTAGCGGTACAGGGTTTGAGTCGAATATGCTGCTCAATGGGGAGAAGATTGAGCGTAAGGAGAGCGCAATTTACACAGCACAACATAATCTAGTTACAATGTGTAGCTGTATTGATTTCGAATTGTTTAAGAGTTCGAATTAACAATGGATTGTAACTTTAAGGCTCGAATTCAAAATATGTATAAAATATATTTGCTTAAATTAGTTAACTATTAAATTTATGGAAATTAATGAAATAAAGAAAGAATTTTTTTAAACGAACTATTAATTTATTATCGCTACATATTTTACCCATATGATCCTCAGCCCAGCAGTCCAGTTTAGGTTTAGTTCGAAATTAAGAAAACTGCTTCATTCCTCCCGAAACGATCTTCAACCCTGTAGTCGAGTGCTATTGAGTGTACCGTTGCTCTCGCCCGTCTCTCGGCGAGTGCGTTAAATGTACAACCGTTGAGTTGGACTGCGTTCGAGATCTGGCGGTGGTTGGCTTTGTGCCGGGGGACTGGGCCTGTGTGAGTTGCGTGTGCAGTTGAAATTCGTTGACGCTGATCGTTAAACGTCGCCGTCCATTCGCAGCGCAAGCGAGAAATCGAATAGAGTGTGTTTTTTAATTCGTATATTGTGCATCGTTTTTATTGTCTTTCCATTTCATGGCAATGTGCAATTGTCCCAACTATAAATATCAATAAAACAAAAGTGTAACAGACAAACTAAATAAATATATATAAAAGAAACGCCACGTTTCGTGCCCTCCGCAAATACGAGTACATATAAATACGTGTGTACAAATACGAATAGCACACAACATATTATTAGTTACTCTGACATACGCATAGCAACAGTCGCAAATACTTAAATATACTATATAGATATATATATATATACATATATATGCAACACATTTTGCAATAGCATTGAGCACAACATCGAGAGAGTTGTAAGAGCCAAAAGCAAGAAGCTAAAACATCCATTGCGGTTCCAATGTAGCCCCTCATGGTTAATTAACACGAGCCCGTTGTGTGACTATATAACAGTTTCGTGTTAAAACATAAAGTGTACAACAAGTTGGCGGTTTTTATTATAAATAATTTACATCAATCACGATCCCCCGTACAAATTTCTAATTAACAACAGCGCAGACTTTGCGTGAATCACCAGCCATACAAATTTTCCGGTAAGTTGTCGCACCCCATACCCCTTCCCCCTTTCCCCACCCACCTCCACACACATGCTGTGACATATAAGTAGTATCTATAGTTAACTAGGAATACTTACTCTAAATACCTTAAATATTGCAAAGCCTAGGGGTTAGTCTGGGGGCCCTGTGAACACGTGTATTACGGTTAAATAAATATTGAACTCGTCTGGGGATTTAACTGCAGGGGGAAAAACCCCGACACGCTCCATACTATATAGACTATATTACGCAGTCTGAAATCAGGTCAATATTTTCATATATAATTCGCACTCTTTTAAAATCTTTATATTGTTGTCGATTTTTGCACGATTCCCCGTCGGCAATTGCAAAACACGCAAATAGCCGGAGCTGGGATTAGAGGAGCACATCGGCAGACTTGACCAGTTTTTACGGGGGTTGTTTTTCCAGTTTATTCTTCAGCCTTCGGCATCTAGAGTTTTCTATGCGATAAGCTTGCGCATTCTTATCAAGGCGCAACGGGAAACCTATTTTAATTATATTTCTCTGATAGGTTCTCTATTTTTTGGCAATTGCACTAGGTTGATAAGACGGCAGTGGAACCCGGGCTGAGTCAAGGCAATTAGCTGGAGGAAATAATTGGCCAAGTCTATTGGAATCCGCAGCCGGAACTCAGATAAAAGTTAGCGATGACTCGTCCATAGACCTTCAGGTGTTTGTTTGCCTCTGTTAACAGGTGGGGACACCTGAATAGGGTCACATGAGTTGGTTGTCTGGGCGTGTGTGTGTGTGTGTGTGTGTTGACATGTGTCACCCACCCGGCAGACAGTTCAGACAGATCTCAATGCATCCGGGCCTTATCTTTGGCAAATATGTTATGTATGCAAAGCGGCAGCCATATGATGTTACCTATGGAGGGAAAAAAATCCCAGAGGGCATCCGAAAATAAATGAAGTATTTACGCAGACAGCTGTTTACAGTTATTGTTGTTGTTGTTATGCGAATCTTGTTTGCGCTCCATGAGCTGATAAGACTTTATAGGGCATCTGGATGCTGGAAAACAAGACTTAAGGAGCTTTCCATTTAGTTAAGATTCCGCGTTGAAGCTGCGAAGAACAGCTCCAGAATTGATGCACAGCAAATCGATAGCCAAGTGATATCTGAGCACAATGAAACAAAGAAATTCGGGGTAAAACTAAAGTAAAATTTAGCTTTAGTTCAAATATATATATTTATATATATATATTTTGTACGCAGCAAGAGTAAACGTTAAGCTGTGCCCCAAAAGGCAATGGCCTAGAATATCCAACAGCAAAAAGAGAAAACCTAAAAAAATTAAACGTTTTAAATTACCTCGAGTTGAAGGCAAAAAGCCGCCGCCTGGCAACAGAGAGTTCAAGTGGCGAATAACTCAAGATCTTAAGATTCTCAGTTCGCCTGTGATCAAAGAAAAACAAATAAAAGGCCAACATCAAACCGCGGCAAGAACAGCGGCAAGAGGGGTCAGCACCAGAGAAACCGAGAATCAGAGAGCGAGAGAGAGAGAGAGAGAGAGAGAGGGGATCAGGAAGAGAGACGCAACAATAGCTTCTAAAACATGCGGACGGGGGCAGGTCTCTGCGCAGAAGTTGCCAGGCTGCCTTTGCCAGACAGGCAGGAAGACAGCCAGACAGCCAGACAGAGAGGCAAGCGATCGGGCAGCTATTGTATCTCACAGATACACAGACAAATGAGGTCAAAATCCTTGAGGTTCTTGTCCTGCTGCATGCGGTTGAACCACGGCCAAGTTGGCATGGGAAACCGCATTCCCCCAGAAATTCGTCTTATGCATTTGGATTCTTCTGCTCGGCCACTCGCAGCTCTTTGATATTAAGCGACAATTGTCAGTTAATTGAGCAGACATCTATCATATCGAGATTATTTTATATAGTTGTCATTTTGAGTTGCATAAATGCCTGGCAATTAATTGGCAAGCCCAGTGCTTAATTAAAGGCGGCAGGAAATGCCAAGTCAATTAATTGAACCCAAGAGTCGGCCAAAGAAATTGGAAATTATGATGGGAAATTTGTTGGAAACAATAAGTCGCCTTCACGGCGCACTCAACTGAATGCCAATTTTCCAACTGTGCGGAAAAGCGCATTAAATTCGATCGTATTCAAAGTCAATTGTCGGCGTATATATATGGAAATGATGCTGAATGACGCTGTGCATAATTAAATGTAAATAATCAGCGACAATCTTGATAGTCGTGTGAGCTCTATTATATTTTCTCTAATTTGCCCTAACACTTTGAATAGACGTGTCACGTCGCCGTTTGCCAAGCCATGGCGAACCGGTTTCAAATTGGGTTTGTCCAGGGTTCCAACTAGTTTTCCAAACAAACCCTAATTTGCCAAATCTCGATTTCGAGTCGCTTAATCAATTTTTAACTATTTTTAAACCTTTTAAAAAACACATAGTTACTTTTGCAATGT